AGATAAACAAACTTTCTGAAAAAATCTAAATTATAGATAACAGTTCTTAAAAAAGTTATCGATAACTTTCGTTTTATTTAGAAACCTTTCTATAATGTTTTCGATATCTCTTCTATAGGAAGTCAAAGTTATAGATAATTTTTTATAAAAACTCAATGTTATCGATAACTTTTCTAACGAAAATTGAAATTACTATTAGTTTTCTGTAAAATACCGATAACTTTAAAAAAACAAAGAAAATTTAAGTTTTCGATAACTTTTCTAAAGAAAGTCAAAGTTATCAATAACTCTTCTAAAGAAAATCAAAGTCATCGATAACTCTTCTAAAGAAAATTAAAACTATTGATAACTAGAAAAGATAGATAAAAGTATTTTCAGTATTTTTTCTATAGAAAATGAAAGTTATCGATAACTTTTTTCACGAAAATTTAAGTTACCCTTACTATTCTGTAGAATATGGATCGAACTTTGTAGGGAAAAACAAAGTTATCGATAATTTTTCTATAGAAAATCAAAGTTATCGATAACTTTTTTTTAACGAAAATTGAAGTTAGCAATACTTTTCGGCGGAATTTGTATAAAAAAATAAAGTTATCGATACTTTTTCACCTGTAAATTAGAATAATCTTTTAAAGAATTCAAAGATAAAGAAGTTTTTGGCCATTTTGATTTGATATTTATTTATAAAGTCTGTTATGTCATCTGAAATTCCAGATTTGGATTCAGCGATCCTCAATTATATACAAAAGTATACTTTGGTCTATCGGTTAAAAATTTGTTGGCCTGTGTTATTTTTGTAATTCTAATAATGAGATGAGTGAAAGTTTGCGATGATATTTAATAACAACAATTGATTGCTTTTAAAACCTCAACCCACTGTGCTGCCACACAAACATCCCATAGCCCATACACACAATAAATAAATTAATATTAAAATATGACCTCCATTAAAAAAAAAAACGTTAAATTTGTTCATAAACTTCAAATGGAAAAACAAAAACCATTTTACTTAATTACTAAAAAAAATATAGAGCACAAAAACAAACACATAAACTCAAGTTCTCAAACAAACAGGAAAAACTGAAAGAATCCAAAAAAATTAAAAAAATATATTTAATATAATTTCCCACCTCAACTTTGTAACATTAAGAGTATTTCATCCATAAATAGTCTATAACATCTTCTAATTTGCGGGAAATTACTTTAAAGACTTCGACTAATGGTTGTAAAAAAGGAATATATTTTTTTTTTTTTTTTAATTTTAATGTAAATATAGAATGAGGAGTAGTTGAAAAATCACAGATTTTTTTTTTTTAATTTTAATGTAAATGAATAGAATGAGGAGTAGTTGAAAAATCACAGATTTATTTTTCATACCTGGCCATCTTGCTAGGGACATGACTAGTTGCCATAATGTGAAATATCCACGTCGTTATTAAAATATATAATAAAATGTTTATGATTCTTATTCTGTTCACATTTTATATTTTTTTACTTTTAAATGCCAACATTTTGATTTTATGAATGAATTTATGGTTTTTTACCACAGTTTTTCATTTAATTTTATTTACTTCTGGCTGTTTTTTTAGTTCTATGCCTTAAGATTATAGAAAATTGTTTTGTCCAGTCAAGTGCAATGAGAAATTTAAATTTGAAATTTTATATTTTTCATTCCATTTATTCGCAGAAATACGACCGTCCCATGCAGAGACACGCAAGCTCATGCATACATTAACATGTTTTCAGAAAGAAATACTTATTCTTCATATTTTATTACAAAGGAAAACAAATAAGAAATTATAGTCTTGCGAGGACGACCATATAAAACCCTACACCAGTTAAAGAAATAAAATGTGATTTAGTTTTTATAATAAAGCATTTAAGTTGAATTGTACCTTGCCTGGAAAAATTGTGGACATTTAAGTAAAATTTTGAAGGGGGCTTTGTATAGGGGCTAGGGTCAAATGAGGCCCTATAATTGTAAAATTCATGAGGGTCATCAAGGCTAGTATAGAACTTGGTTTTGCAGCTTTATGTCGAGATACGAGTATTTTAAACATACCTATGAACTTAAAAGACCTATTCGGCGGGTTCAGTTGTGTGTTGGCTAGGTTAAATATTGGACCAATGTTATCCTTTTTCAATAGACTTCGTCTCTGGTACAATAGAAGAATTATCTTCAAAATTGCAACCTGCAGTTTGATAACAAGGTTGACAAGCCCTATTCGGGGGTACAGTTGTATAGGGGCTAGGTGAAATAATAGACCGATATTAACCATTTTCAATCCTTGGGGCAATAAAAAATTATATATCAAATTTGATTAAATTATCTTCAAAATTGCGACCTGTAGTTTTACTAAAAGGTTTTCATGGACGAACGGACAGACAGACGAACATAGCTTTATCGACTTAGAAAATGATTCTAAGCCGAATGGTATACTTTAAGGTGGGTATAGGACTAATGTTATTGTGCATTACATACATCAGCACAAACCTAATATGCCCCCGCTAAAGTGGTGTAGTGTAAAGAAATTAAATAATATAAACTAAGGATTTGATAACCACCAAAGACATAGAATACTAGGCTTAATCGGCACATTTATTTAGTAGTCATTAGTTAAGTTAGTAGTTAGTTAGTTAGTTAGTTAGTTAGTAGTTAGTTAGTTAGTAGTTAGTTAGTTGTTAGTTATTAGTTAGTTAGTTAGTTAGTTAGGTTGAGTTAGTTAGTTAGTGAGCTTAGTTAGTTAGTGAGTAGTTAGTTAGTTATTTAGTTATTTGTTAGTTAGTTAGTTTAGTTAGTTAGTAGTTATTAGTTAGTTAGTAGTTAAGTTAGTTAGTTAGGTAGTTAGGTAGTAGTAGTTAGTTAGTTAGTTAGTTAGTTAGTAGTTAGTTAGTTAGTTAGTTAGTTAGTTAGTTAGTTAGTTAGTTAGTTAGTTAGTTAGTTAGTTAGTTAGTTAGTTAGTTAGTTAGTTAGTTAGTTAGTTAGTTAGTTAGTTAGTTAGTTAGTTAGTTAGTTAGTTAGTTAGTTAGTAGTTAGTATTTAGTTATTTAGTTAGTTATTTAGTTATTAGTTAGTTAGTTAGTTAGTTAGTAGTTAGTTAGTTAGTTAGTTAGTTAGTTAGTTAGTTAGTTAGTTAGTTAGTTAGTTAGTTAGTTAGTTAGTTAGTTAGTTAGTTAGTTAGTTAGTTAGTTAGTTAGTTAGTTAGTTAGTTAGTTAGTTAGTTAGTTAGTTAGTTAGTTAGTTAGTTAGTTAGTTAGTTAGTTAGTTAGTTAGTTAGTTAGTTAGTTAGTTAGTTAGTTAGTAGTTAGTTAGTTAGTTAGTTAGTTAGTTAGTTAGTTAGTTAGTTAGTTAGTTAGTTAGTTAGTTAGTTAGTTAGTTAGTTAGTTAGTTAGTTTAGTTAGTAGTTAGTTAGTTAGTTAGTTAGTTAGTTAGTTAGTTAGTTAGTTAGTTAGTTAGTTAGTTAGTAGTTAGTTAGTTAGTTAGTTAGTTAGTTAGTTAGTTAGTTAGTTAGTTAGTTAGTTAGTTAGTTAGTTAGTTAGTTAGTTAGTAGTTAGTTAGTTAGTTAGTTAGTTAGTTAGTTAGTTAGTTAGTAGTTAGTTAGTAGTTAGTTAGTAGTTAGTTAGTTAGTTAGTTAGTTAGTAGTTAGTTAGTTAGTTAGTTAGTTAGTTAGTTAGTTAGTTAGTTAGTTAGTTAGTTAGTTAGTTAGTAGTTAGTTAGTTAGTTAGTTAGTTAGTTAGTTAGTTAGTTAGTTAGTTAGTTAGTTAGTTAGTTAGTTAGTTAGTTAGTTAGTTAGTTAGTTAGTTAGTTAGTTAGTTAGTTAGTTAGTTAGTTAGTTAGTTAGTTAGTTAGTTAGTTAGTTAGTTAGTTAGTTAGTTAGTTAGTTAGTTAGTTAGTAGTTAGTTAGTTAGTTAGTTAGTTAGTTAGTTAGTTAGTTAGTTAGTTAGTTAGTTAGTTAGTTAGTTAGTTAGTTAGTTAGTTAGTAGTTAGTTAGTTAGTTAGTTAGTTAGTTAGTTAGTTAGTTAGTTAGTTAGTTAGTTAGTTAGTTAGTTAGTTAGTTAGTTAGTTAGTTAGTTAGTTAGTTAGTTAGTTAGTTAGTTAGTTAGTTAGTTAGTTAGTTAGTTAGTTAGTAGTTAGTTAGTTAGTAGTTAGTTAGTAGTTAGTTAGTTAGTTAGTTAGTTAGTTAGTTAGTTAGTTAGTTAGTTAGTTAGTTAGTTAGTTAGTTAGTTAGTTAGTTAGTTAGTTAGTTAGTTAGTTAGTTAGTTAGTTAGTTAGTTAGTTAGTTAGTTAGTTAGTTAGTTAGTTAGTAGTTAGTTAGTTAGTTAGTTAGTAGTTAGTTAGTTAGTTAGTTAGTTAGTTAGTTAGTTAGTTAGTTAGTTAGTTAGTTAGTTAGTTAGTTAGTTAGTTAGTTAGTTAGTTAGTTAGTTAGTTAGTTAGTTAGTTAGTAGTTAGTTAGTTAGTTAGTTAGTAGTTAGTTAGTTAGTTAGTTAGTTAGTTAGTTAGTTAGTTAGTTAGTTAGTTAGTTAGTTAGTTAGTTAGTTAGTTAGTTAGTAGTTAGTTAGTTAGTTAGTTAGTAGTTAGTTAGTTAGTTAGTTAGTTAGTTAGTTAGTTAGTAGTTAGTTAGTTAGTTAGTTAGTTAGTTAGTTAGTTAGTTAGTTAGTTAGTTAGTTAGTTAGTTAGTAGTTAGTTAGTTAGTTAGTTAGTTAGTTAGTTTGTTTGTTTGTTTTGTACCAAACCGATTATGGACTGTAATTTTCATAAATAAAACACTTTTCCATTAACATTTTAAGCAATTAATTTATTCAGCAAACTTGTCAAGCAGAAAACTAAAAACAATAGAATAGCAAACTAAAAGGAGAACAAAACATAAATTCATTATACAGAGTTGCAATAAAATGTTAGTAAGTAAATCAAAGGGATAAAAGGGATAAATTATGTATATTTTATTAATAGTTAGTAATGATGACTCCAACATTCCGGCCCACGTTGAAAGGATCATCTTTCAAGAATCCAATAAAAGTGGACAAAGCTTGGATATTGGACGTTTCAGCGACCCATTTTTAGTCTTAATAGTCGCAACTCGGACCAAACCGTCATTGCCAGGATGTGTCAAAAGTATTCTACCCATCAGCCATTGTGCGGGGGGCAAGTTGTCCTCTCTTATTAACACCATGTCACCAATTTGAAGATTTTTAGAAATTTGGACCCATTTTGGTTTTCTCTGTAGTTGACACAAATACTCCTTCGACCATTTTGACCAGAACTGTTGAACAAGATGCTGCATATATTGCCATCTAGTAAGGCGATTAACGTTCACATTTATCAAATTTTCATCTGGTATTGATACCATCGGGCGAAGAATCAAGAAATGTCCTGGAGTAAGTGGATCTTCATCACCTTCAAACTTCAGGCACAAGGGACGTGAATTTAAACAACATTCTATTTGACATAGAAGTGTAGATAGCTCCTCATAAGTTGCACTTGAATTCTTCAATACTCGTTTCAGGTGAAATTTCACTGATTTAACGCCTGCCTCCCAAATGCCGCCAAAAGTTGGACCCGAGGGCGGAGTAAAATGCCATTGAATTTCTTGAAAGGACAGCTCCTGATTAATATTCTCAAAGTTATCACTCAGAAATTCAAATAATTCCTTTAGTTCCTGGTTACATCCCACAAAATTTGTACCGTTGTCTGTATATATGTGTCTAGGCTTACCACGTCTTGATACAAACCGTCGAAGGGTTGCCATAAATGCTGCTGCAGAAAGCTCCGTCACTGCTTCTAGATGAATTGCCTTTGTACTTAGGCAAACAAATACGGCAATCCAACATTTATAATTTTTGGAACCGCGACCTTTCCAGGATTTTACTAATGTTGGTCCGGCAAAGTCAACTCCCACACGTTCAAAAGTTGGACAGGGTTGTACACGATAGCTTGGAAGGTCACCCATTCGTTGTTGATACGGAATTTGCCTAAACCTCATGCAAGTGGTACATTTATAAACCGTTCTTTTGATAAGATGAATGACGTCTGGTATCCAATATTTTAAACTCAACAAGTATTGTAACTGCCTAGTGCCGGCATGAAGGTGATGTAGATGATAATGTCTTACGATAAGAGAAGCTAAGGGATCCTTTGCATGAAGTATTAATGGATGTTTTTGGTCGTAGTTTATTCGGGCATTTTCGAGACGGCCTCCTACACGCAATATACCTTGAGGGTCCAAAAAAGGGGTAAGCGCAGCTAGTTTATTTGTTCTTGAAATAGATCCTTGGGCAGCCAAAATACGTTTTTCATTATAGAAGAATTTATCTTGAGACAATTTTACCAATGATAATTGAGCAGCTTTAAGTTCTGACGTGGTTATGAACCCTCGAATTCTCCTGGAGGTGTCGCCTTTAAATTTACAGTTGTTAATAAAACGTAGAACCAGAGCTGTGATTCTAAGTAGGGTATTGAAATTCGAATAACGATCGGTAATATTAAATTCGTCGGCATTGTGAACAATTGCCGTAGAAATGTTCTTTCTCCGTTCCAAATCTGTATCATTAACCATTTCAAATGTTGATTGACAAGGGAGCGTAGGATTTTGAAGAATAGGCGGGCCTTGCCACCATAATCTATTATCCATAATATCGGAAGATGAAACGCCTCTAGTGGCCAAATCCGCTGGGTTAAACTGTGATGAAATGTGTCGCCATTGTGTCGCGGGTAATTTGTCGATAATGTATGATGTACGATTCGCAATAAAAGTCTTCCATCTGACAGGATGATCACTGATCCATGCCAGAACAACTGTTGAATCAGTCCAACCATAGGTTGGCACGTCGTGGAATCCAAATGCATTCTTTACCTTGGCCATAAGCTTTACCATAAGATGCGCAGCGCAAAGTTCCAAACGTGGTAAGCTTATCTGTTTTATGGGAGTTACTCTAGTTTTCGATGACAGCAAACAAGTCGATATAGTACCATTAGGTTTAATTATACGTATGTATATAGAAGCTGCATACGCCAGTTGTGAAGAATCAGCAAACCCGTGGAGTTCTATAATATCTCCCATCTGAAAGTTGAACCATCTAGGTATTTTCAAATCCTTGATGTGCTGCATATCATTCTGTAGTTTAAGCCATTCATTCTTTAGAGGGCTGGGCAAATCCTGATCCCAACTTACACCCTTAAGCCAGAGTTTTTGCATGAATATTTTCAACGTTATTATCACTGGTGATAGCCATCCAATGGGATCGTAGACCTTAGAAATGTCAGAAAGTACCTGTCTTTTGGTTATTACATCGGAATGTTCCTGGAAACATATGCTGTATTGGAAACAGTCAGACTCAGTATTCCACAATAAACCTAATGTTTTCACTGTTCCAGAGTCGTTTATAATTGCAGATGATGATAGATCTCTGTCTTTTACTCCAATGGGCTCCTGAAATTCATGTGAATTTGACGCCCATTTTCGCAGGTTAAAACCTGCACTTGACAATACGGAACACAGATTTTTACGCATTGAGTTCGCCGTTTCAATATCTGGCGCACAGGACATATAATCGTCAACGTAAAAATTGTTGTCAATTTCATATGAAACATCTGGATGTGTTGTAGAGTTATCAATTGCAACCTGTTTCAAAGTGCGTGTGGCCAAGAATGGTGCTGCGACAGTTCCATAAGTAATAGTTCGAAGCTGGTATGTTTCAGGTTCCTCCAATGGTGACTTACGCCATAAGATGCATTGGTATGGCCTGTCCTCGGGGTGTATCAACACCTGTCGATACATTTTCTCGACATCTGCACTAAATCCAATTTCAAATTTCCGAAATTTCAGTAAAATCGTAAATAAATCATTTTGAATGGTAGGTCCAACTAACAGATGATCATTCAATGACAAATCGTTTGAGCTCTTGCACGAAGCATCAAACACAACACGTAGCTTGGTGGTAGTGCTTGTTGGCTTTAGTACCGCGTGATGAGGCATATAATAAGCTGCTTTGATGTCACTTGGTGTAGTTTCCATATGGTTCAGCTCTTTATACTCGTCCATGAACTTCAGAAATTCAACCTTTAGGTCTTCATTTTTCATAAACCTCCGTTCCATAGATTGAAGTCTCTTCATTGCCGCAAGTTTAGATTCCCCAAGTTCTATAGAATCGTTTTTAAATGGTAGCCTCACCATATATCTTCCATCATGCAGTCGTTGAACAGTATCCATGTAATGTTTTTCGGCTTTTTCCTCATCAGGGCTAACAATCTTACCCTGAAGAGTACATTCCTCAGTCTCCCAAAATTTCTGTAGTTGAATATCCAGACTTGGATACACATGAGCCACAAATGTCGATCGTACCGGCTGTTCAATTATATCTCCCATAACAATCCATCCAAATATTGTGTTCACAGCAATGGGAGATCCACTTGGGTGTGTATGTTGTCCGTCTAAAATGCAATGTGGAAATACGTTTGCTCCCAAAATGATGTCAATTCGACTCCTTTGATGAAATGCTGGATCCGCGAGAGGAAGATTTCGGAAATAATCCAAACTTTTGCTCTTAACAGTATGGGTAGGAAGGTATTGGGTCAGATTTTGCAAACAATAAGTTTTAACCAAAAGTGTCCTGTTATGCTTTTCAGCAAATATTTCCAGTTGAACCTTTCCCTTAGTATAATTTGGTTTTTCTCCACCAACACCGTACAGTACGGTATTATCATGCGATTTCGGTAGCTGCAATCTCTGAACACAAGCTTCCGAAACGAGGGTAGATTGTGCCCCTGAGTCTATGAGAGCCCGACATGGTTGAAGGCTTTTATTTTTATCGCGTACCATCACTATTGCCGTTGGTAAAAGTGTTGTCTCATGATTAACCTGTTGGTTTACGTTGATGTTGATTGTTGTGGGATTCTCATCACTATCACTTTGTTGACCGATTTCCGCAACTAGCACGTTGTCACCCATATGAAGTAGTGTGTTGTGTTTTAAACCGCATACTTTACAAGGACCTGATTTACATTCCCTCGAGATGTGCTTACCCTTGAGGCAGTTAAAACAAAGTTTGTTCTTAAAAATAACTTCCTTACGCTTATCAACATCTAACGCTTTGAATTGTGAGCAATTGTATAAGAAATGGTCGTCATTACAAATTGGACACGACTGATTTGCAGTAGCAACATTTGCGATCTTACTTTGACGTTGGTATTTTATTGATGCATTAGCCTTCTGTTCCTCCTCCACTTCAACTACACGATTTCTCAAAAATTTCAATAGTTGTGGAAACGTTTGAATTTCGCCCTCTTTACGTTGTCTGCGCCAAAGTGTAATTGTTTCTGTGTCCAATTTCTTCTTCATGTGAAACATCAAAACATAATCCCATGAATCAAGAGAGCCCTTCAGAGTTTTTAAAGCATTGTACGCCTCAACCGTATTGTGATAGAATTTCTTAAAATCGGAAGCCGTTGCATTCTTAACATGCTTTTGATCAAAAAGGAGTTCCAGATACTTTTCCACAATCATCTCGGAGTTATCATAATTTTCCTTTAGAAGCTCCCATGCAACGTTGTAATTGTCATTCGTAGGCGTTAGATGTTTTATGACCGTAGAAGCTTCACCCTTCAACTTCATTTGTAGATATTCAAGCTTCTGAACATTCGATATATTAGTTCTCGAATCTACCATAGACACGTATAAATCTCTAAAGCGTATCCAATTTGAAAGATTCCCATCAAAATCTGGTATTTCTATTGGAGGTAAACGTAGCTCGGACTGATTAGTGTTTGACAGTTGAACATTTTGAGTTGTAGCATTTGAACGCATATCAGTTACGGCCGAGAGTGTTGCCGACATTGTCTCCAGTAAAGATGTCGTAGTCGACTGCTGCTGAACAATCGCCTGTATTGTCATGTCATTGTTGTTTGGGCTGCTGGAAGCTGCACCCTCAATAACTGTTCTATCTAACGTTTCATTTGACTGGGTAGACCAAATAGTTCTTATCGCAAAATAAATATCCTCAATCTGTGATCTGTATTGATCCTCTTTAATTTGCTCATTATCATTCTCACACAAGGAATCAATTTCATCTTGGCAAATCTCATAACATTTATAAATTTCCTCAAGTTTATCAATACGTACCTTTATTTAATGATAACTTGCATTCTGATTATTGACAGCATTATATATTCTCGTAATAGACTTCTTTATCTGTGAACGTTTTTTCCTTAGTTCCTCCATTATGAATTTCAAATTTGTTCACTTATCTACCACTTATCAAAACAATACCAATGTCAAGCAAAAAACCACACCAATTACAGTTTTCAAACCATAGCAAACGATCACTAATGTCCGTTAATTTACTTATCAAAGTCACAAACCACTTCAAATCAAGTGCAAGTTTAAAGTTCACTGCCTTTACAAATATAGTTATAGATGCACTGCTTTATTCTTATCTTTAGCAACACTAGTTTTCGGTCTTCAAATTAACGACTTTAATTTTTCTTTTCCCTTTAGCACACTGTTGCCTTGTTTTTCCGTACTCTATTCACAATCACTCACATGCACTATTGTTGTTGTTGTAATGTTCTTTTCCTTCAATTCTAATGATCTTCATTCACATTTATGTGTTCTCATATGTAACTACAAACTTTCATATTGTATTATTGCTATTACTTTGTCCCATGTTTTTCCTTTATACATTCAACAATAAACAGCACAAACTACCGACGCGACGGCTGAGAATGTAAGTATGTATGTACACGAGTATGTATGTATATGTCTTTATTACGATCACAAACAATAAAAAATCACGACGTACCGGCGACGCGTATGTATATCTTTTACTACGATTTGTTCGTTCGAAACTTCACCGATATTATCCGGTTCTGAAAGGACCAAATGTTTATACCAAACCGATTATGGACTGTAATTTTCATAAATAAAACACTTTTCCATTAATATTTTAAGCAATTAATTTATTCAGCAAACTTGTCAAGCAGAAAACTAAAAACAATAGAATAGCAAACTAAAAGGAGAACAAAACATAAATTCATTATACAGAGTTGCAATAAAATGTTAGTAAGTAAATCAAAGGGATAAAAGGGATAAATTATGTATATTTTATTAATAGTTAGTAATGATGACTCCAACAGTTAGTTAGTTAGTTAGTTAGTTAGTTAGTTAGTTAGTTAGTTAGTTAGTTAGTTAGTTAGTTAGTAGTTAGTTAGTTAGTTAGTTAGTTAGTAGTTAGTTAGTTAGTTAGTTAGTTAGTTAGTTAGTTAGTTAGTTAGTTAGTTAGTTAGTTAGTTAGTTAGTTAGTTAGTTAGTTAGTTAGTTAGTTAGTTAGTTAGTTAGTTAGTAGTTAGTTAGTTAGTTAGTTAGTTAGTTAGTTAGTTAGTTAGTAGTTAGTAGTTAGTTAGTTAGTTAGTTAGTAGTTAGTTAGTTAGTTAGTTAGTTAGTTAGTTAGTTAGTTAGTTAGTTAGTTAGTTAGTTAGTTAGTTAGTAGTTAGTTAGTTAGTTAGTTAGTTAGTTAGTAGTTAGTTAGTTAGTTAGTTAGTTAGTTAGTTAGTTAGTTAGTTAGTTAGTTAGTTAGTTAGTAGTAGTTAGTTAGTTAGTTAGTTAGTTAGTTAGTTAGTTAGTTAGTTAGTTAGTTAGTTAGTAGTTAGTTAGTTAGTTAGTAGTTAGTTAGTTAGTTAGTTAGTTAGTAGTTAGTTAGTTAGTTAGTTAGTAGTTAGTTAGTTAGTTAGTTAGTTAGTTAGTTAGTTAGTTAGTTAGTTAGTAGTTAGTTAGTTAGTTAGTTAGTTAGTTAGTTAGTTAGTTAGTTAGTTAGTTAGTTAGTTAGTTAGTTAGTTAGTTAGTTAGTTAGTTAGTTAGTTAGTTAGTTAGTTAGTTAGTTAGTAGTTAGTTAGTTAGTTAGTTAGTTAGTTAGTTAGTTAGTTAGTTAGTTAGTTAGTTAGTTAGTAGTAGTTAGTTAGTTAGTTAGTTAGTTAGTTAGTTAGTTAGTTAGTTAGTTAGTTAGTTAGTTAGTTAGTAGTTAGTTTTATATTCCTTCTTCGTACAAGTGTTTTCTTAATTTTATTGCTGTTGAATGAAGTTTGATGGTTTTTTTGAGTAGTTGTTGTTGGTTTCTGTTGCCGTATTTACTTTTCTTGGAGGAAATATCAGCATTTATTTCACATGTCATTAAATACATACATTTGGCATTCAATTAACTGTTTACGACAATAAAATTTCTTGTATTTACTCTTTCATTCGAGTACATACCAATTAACGTTTAAACATTTTTCCGTTGTTTGTTAGTTTGAGAATATCTGTAGTCTGCTTATGTCGTATTGTGGGAATTGTATTTGTGGTGGCAAGTTTATTGCCAGCATATCAAAGGTTTTTAGTAAATACAATTAAATATACATAGTGCATAAAATAATCAACAAATTAAACTTTTAGTATATGGCACTCTTAAGTTCTTGCTACTTTTACTTTAACTCCTGCCACTAGTACTTCGCTTACTATTTACTGTGTTTGTTGTTAATTGTTTGTCTGTCCGTGTATAGGTGTGTTGGCATGTGTCAAGCAGTTTTACAATGATCATTGTATCATTTTCGTATATGATATAATTCTTTTATAAATCAGAGGTATTCTACTGATGACCCAAGTATTTATTTGTAATCTGAGTAAATTATGAATTCAATCTGTGTAGGGTTTATCTCCCCGAACTGCAGGTTTTTGTGTACATGTATAGATATCCTTACACCATCTTATGCGAAACTGTAAAAGTTGTTGTAATTAAATGATTTTTATTACTTTTTACAATGTAATTAAGTATCCATGGTGTTAAGTGTACTAAAGATGCTATTAAATAAAATAATATAAAATAAAACAATAAAATGACACTAAGACCAACTAATGGCAGGATATGATAACACAGACTAATAGAATTTTCCATAAAACAGATACCATTTAGTGTCTTTAATTATTTTTCATCTAAATGGATTAAAACATTTAAAGATATTTAACTAATTTGTTTTTCTTTACTAATTCTTTAAATACTGCCCTCATGAAATTTTTTTAAACATTGTATTATTAGCAACACTAACATTTTGCTGTGAGTGTACTTTTTGTTTGGAATTCCCTTAAAAATGTGTTTAATTTTGTCATTATTCAACGACTACTTAAAAACAACTTTTATTTCTTTCTCTTTTGCCATTTTAATGATTGTGTCTGTCCGTCTGTCTGTGTGTGTGTGCGTTTGAATAGTGTTAATATCCATAAAAAACACAAACTACCTACCGGAAATGTAATGCACTTAATCACACTTCTCATTAATTTTTTTAAATCAACATTAAATCCTCAACATTCCAGACATAAAGAAATAAAGAAAAATATCCATATAACTATTTATTTACACAAAAAAAAAAAAAAAAAAACAAACCGGAAATACATCATAAACATTGATTTATTTGCTAAAGCTTGACATTAAATTTCGACCCCCATTAACAATATTGAACTACATAAATACATATATTTTCTGTAATAGTGGGTGTGTATGGGAATTCGATTTATAAATTTCATCATCAATTACATATGTAAGTATGAATGTTATTTACTGTTAAAATAGATAGATAAGTACTTATATTGATAACAGAAATTAATATGGTTTTTTATAAACATTTTGAAATATAAATAATTTTGTTAGAATTTTATGTATTAGATGAATTGTGGTGAAAAAATGTTTAATGGAAGTTCAAGTTATCTATAAATTGTTTGATATCAATGTAATGATATTATATAATAATAGTTTTATTATGAAGAGCTAATTTATAATTTTTCTATAAAATATACAAGTTAATAGTACTTTTTCTATAGAGACTAAAATTATTAATAAATTTGTTATACAAAAATAAATTGATTTTGTTAATTCTACATTTCTAGGTTTGATATTAAAGAAGTTATAATGTACAGTCGGGCAAGGTCGACCTTATGAAACACTACACTACTAATTAAAGGAGATTTTCTAAAATAGATGTTATATGGGGACCGAGGGTTAATATGCGCCTTTCCTTATAAATTTTAGTAGATAAATTTATAACTACCTTAAAGTTATTTATGTAGAGTTTTATCGTAATATTAGTGTTTATAAGTGAATTTTGACCTTCAAGGCAATTTCTGAAGGGGACTTTGTATAGGGACTAGGGTTAATATTCATCATGAATATCAGTATTGTCATTTATACTCATATAAAAAAAGTTCTTCCAATTTAACATATTTATGAGCTCAAAAGCACTATCAGGGGGTACGGTTGTATGGGTGTTAGGCGAAATAAACTACCTATGTAAACTACCTACCACTTAGGATTACCCCTAGCCATTGAGTGTCTAAGTAATTAGCTGTTTTAACATGTGCTGGTCCTACGAGGAAGTAAATCATCACCCCATAGTTTTTTAATTGTCCCCTCTCTCGCTTACAAAGGGGACACTAAAGTGATGATTATCCTCACCCTCGTTTACAAAGAGAATATCGGTGACGAAAGACGAATTAGAGGCAACCAGGTGGTTAGACGTTAGTTAAAATCTCCTTCTTTTTTGGATACACTGCTGGGGTGGTCAGCCAGTTGGACAGACGGACGAACATATCTAAATCGACTTAGAACGCGATTCTGAGCCGACTTTAAGGTGTGATCAGCACAAACACATAACACCCTACCCTCTTTAGTGATGTAGGGTATAAAAAGATTCATAAAGTACCAATTGAAAAACGAAAAAGTGCCAAAAAGTCCACATTTATAGGTTCTCATTTACTCCGGACTCTACAAGCTTAATTTCATGTCTCTAGATTCAATATTATAGAAACACAAAAAGTACCAGTTAAAGAACGGATAAGTACGAAAAAGTTCCCTTTCGTAGTTTCCTATTTAC